AAACCGGCCCGATAAGGACACTAAAACAACTAAGACGGTACCCAAGCCATCATTAGCAACTTTGAGAACTCAAATCTAAAAGCGAGGAGGAAATCACTCACTCGCCCGAAGACAGAACAACAGTGCTTTCCAAAATTGGAAAGGTGTCGATTAAAAAGACTGCTATTCCTATGCCTTATAAGGAGACCGCAGTGCCATCAATAGTGCATTAATAGTCACTTCAGGTTAACCGGAGGAGTCAAATCCAATGAGCGAGGAGGTGATCACCAACTCGCTAGAAGACAGTTTAAATAAATGACAATGATTGAGGTTATCCAAATAAACCTCCATCGAAGCGAGACGGCTACCAACGTTCTGATGGCTAAAATTAACACAGGTAAGATACATATAGCTTTAATCCAGGAACCTTGAACGATTCGCAACAAGGTTTCTGTATTAAATCACGTAAATTTCCAACTTTTCTACTCTGATACAGGGTCTCGACCGTTTTAGAAGAGCTTATCAACGAAATTTAGGATTGGAGAGTTTCGGACGAGCACTCTTTTTCTGACCATCGGTATATAAGATTCAAAATACTAAGACCACCACCAAAGCCGATAGTTTCGAAATAAGTCTAAACTAATTGGACTATGTTCGGTTCCTTACTAAAGAACCGTCTATGTCAGGACACTTTTCAATGTCGAAATAAAGACGACATAGACGCCAAAGTTGAAATGTTCAAAAGTGCCTTGGTTGAATCGTTTGAGGACAGATGCCGTCTGCGATAGCGGAGATCTGCCCAGGAGAAACCCTCGGTAACCGTGGTGTTCCAGAACCTTGGGAAGACTATTCGCAAACTATTTAACCGGGCACGACGTAAAAAGATGAGTATCGTAGTAAACTTGGTGAAAATAAGAAAATGTTTCGAAAAACCAAACGAGACTCCTAGAAACTTTTCTGTGAACAGGTAGACAGCGTAAATGACGTATCGAAGATAAAAATATTCTATCCAAAACTCGTCCAACCGGAATCTATAGTCGATGATACGGGCAGGAGGCTGGAGAATATGGAGGAGACAATGAAACTCCTAATGGACTCTCATTCCCACCCGGTATATCGAATAACATAGATTAACCGATATTGGAGGAAGGGGAGACTAACACGGAAATTGTAATTACATCTTATATGGTTAAAGGGGCAATCAAGAGCTTTGCTCCCTATAAAGCTTCCAGGCAGAAGTCCGAGCAATAACGGAATGTGTAAATTGGATCAGAATAAATATGGCGCCCACAGCTCTTAATATATTTACCGACAGCCAGAAGGCAATTAGGGTGATATCAGGTGATAGAATTAAATCTAAGACCGTTTTGGATTGTAAGAGGTAAGGTTTATATCATATGGGTACCACGCCACTCGGGAGTATTCGACAACGAAAGGGCGAATGTAATAGCTTTAAAAGCAAGAGAGCTCGAGGTAGTTAACCTGACGAACGCAAAACCATTCGACGCAACAAAATCTGAATTAAAAATATGGGTGAGAGAATCTCATAAGGCCTCTTGGAATAATGAAACGGTCGGTAGAAGCACAAAGATCCTATGGGGTGACCCTGACGAGAACAAGACGAGAAATCTCCTCAAAATGAGCAAGTCTGAAGTTATTATGATGGTACGTAAACTCTGGAGCACTTTCTTGCCACTGTCAAGCATTCATCGAAGTTAGATCCAAGTATCTTGGAAGTGATGTTATTCCGGAAATAACATTCTTGAATAACAGTGATTGGAAAATTCTTAGGAATTACGGCCAGAAAACTGAGTTTCTGAACATTGGAATGTAATATACTCAGTGAACAAAAATTTTTTTCATGAAAAGGAGCGCACAACAGGCCCGATGGTGGCCTAGGTGCATTTTTTCGGATTTGATGTACTTACTATACAATCTCCTATGAACCTAACTTAACCTAAACCATTTTCATAGCAACTGGACCTCGTTTGACTCTAGTTCTATACAAAGTTTAATTTCAGAAAAATACTTAAGCGTCCATAACTCACTTATAAGCACGGAGAATATTAGCTTTTTTAGCATGTAATAACTCCAAATTTTAAAAAAGGACTTGCATTTATTTATAAACTCAAAATAACGCTCTGACATAGATTTTATTTTAGCTTACTTTTGAAAAGATTTGTTAGAATTATTGCACAATAAACAAACTTATATTGTTATCGATATTGTAGAGGGACATTTGTATACGCACTGTCAAATCATGGACCAATTTGAGCAATTTTAAATAGGCTTTTGGCTAAATACATATCACTGAATTATGTGAAAAATTGTGACCTGTACATTACGCATAAGTCTTACATAGCTTAATTGCTTTTAAAAACTTGATTGGAATTAAGCACTTTTTTCAACGAATTTGCATTTTTTTCTGAAGGAGTTCCGGCAACATTGACAGTAGGGCTTTAGAGGACGATAGTAAAGTGGCTAGGTTGGGTGAATATGCTAGGCAGGTATTCAATAGGAGGAGGACTGACGTTAGTGGAGGTAATCCCTAATGGGGGCAGTCGTTGGTGGTGCTCTTCGCCAGGTGTCGTGCATTCTCGGCACACTGGCTTGGCATAAGTTTGTTGATAGTTGTATGACCGGTGATAAGTTGATTTTTCCTGATGATATGTGCTGCATTTCCTTCCCCAGCTTCTTTCGTTTTTGCTTAATTTTTCGTTGTTCTCCCAGTCCGTCTTTTTGTTGTTTTAAGGACGCTTTTCGCCTATCCTAGGTATCCGTGAGGATGCTCCGTTTATTGTTTTGTACGTAATTTTCATGTCGGTGTCGAGAATATTACACAAAATGTCGCTCGTGAGGGCGGCTGTTCAATGGGTGTACCTTTCGTTGTTTGTTCTGTGTGCTGCTGTTAGCCACCAGTCAGGTCCTATTTGGAGGCCAACTGGTAGTAGTTTTATTTAAAACTACGAAGTCCGAAGGAAGACTTTAAATCTGGTACCACGGGATCCAGGCAGCCCCTGAAACTAGTTTTCAGCCTGGATGATGGTGCGGCCATTTATTGGAGTATCGTGGGTGTTGTGGTTTAAACCCAAATCGCGGGAAGAACGTAAGCTCGGTATGGAGTTGCATTGCAACCGGGTGCCGTTACCCATAGATCGGTAGGAGTTTAGATAGTCTCCGCCCCAAACCAAGGGGGAGGTCATGTCCAAATACATGACTTCAATTCTGGTACTCCTACACCTCCCGTCGTTATTGTAGGGTACGTTAAGGTAGGCGCTCACGTAAAACACGGCCAAATCTACCCGTGGTCAATATCGAGCAGTCATCGGACGCCGTCTGGGGGTTTTGGGAGCTTAGACATATGGAAATTAAACAGAATCGGCGAAAAGACTCCACCTTGGGGTACTCCCTTTTTAATTCTACGAGACTTGGATCTCTGGTTCCTAAACTTCACAAATATCGTTTGTCGTCCACACATGTAGTTCACTAGCCATCTCTTGGTGTTGTCGGACAGATCAGATGTAAAAATGTCTCTGAAGAGAATGGCGTAATGGTCGAGTGCCACAAGGACTGTTCGTTCACATGGTCGGGCCTGGTTAAGGCCGTGGCAAACTTGTGTGGTGATGGCGGTTAAAGCTGTTGTTGTGCTGTGCTTTAGACGGAATCTGCTGATGCTCTGCTAGATGTAGGTGTTGTAGCAGTTCCGGATGGAGTAATGCCTCAAGTGTCTGGCAATTGGTGACAGAAGGGAGATAGGCTTGTAAGATTCTCCCTGTTTTGCACTTTTCCCTGGCTTCAGCAAAGGAACAACACCACCCAATTTCGAGACCTCGGGTATTATTAGGTTTGACATTCCTGTCTGTTCTGTAAACCGAATCCAAGTAAATTTCTCGTTTAAAAAGGAGTTCTCATAATTTTTCTCGTTTTAAAACCGAGTACACAAATCTAGTCGAAAGTAATTTAATTTTATTCTAATAAATTAAATAATAATTTTTTGCGTTTTTTAATATAAATGCTATGGGCATTTTAAAATCTTTTTCATTTAAATGTTTATTTTTCTGAATTTTGCGTTTAAATAAAAATTCGATTTGCAGAACATCAAATTCGGTTTTAAAAGCTTCTCGGTTTTGAAAACGAATCGATTTAAAGAATGATTGACAAGTTAAGGACTTTTGCATCCAAATTTTTCAGCATCAACATGGATATACCGTCTGGGCCAATAGCTTTCGATGACTTAGCATCTCTGACAACCTTCGTAACCTCGCTCATTGAAAAACATATGGTCTGCCACTGACTCGAAATTCGTGTACCATCCTTACGAATAAAGTAGTTCGCGCAGCGCTTGGGTCGGATATGGTATTTCCGTTGAAGGATATCGCGAGCAGGGTTCGACAGAGATCTGACAGTAGACCATAGTTTGAGGTAATGTTTTTAGGTGATTTACCCACTTTTCCCACTTGTATTCATTAACCAACTTGCTGATCTCCCGGTTGAATTGTCGATTTCTGGGATCGCTGGCGTTGGCTCTTGGGATTTCGTCTCGCTCATCTGCTAATTCAGCCGCTGGTGCTGGGAAATTTGGTCTTATAAGCGGGATTCTACCAGCAGGTATAGTACGAGTGGCGTAAGCGAGGACGATTTTCCGGAATTCCCTTTCTGCGGAGCTCACGGTAGAAGGGGGAACTACAAAACTTGGGACTACGTCTGCAAAAGTTTTTATTAGACAATACGGAATTCAAATTTTTGTGATATTGGCGAACTCATTTGTTTTGAGGATGTGAATTTCGAGCTAGATTTCGAAGGAATTTGTAAAAAAGTATTTTTTCGGTTTCGCTTTTTTCCATCCAGAATCTAACACTATTGACTAAAACATCACATACAGTATACGCTGTCACTATTGTGATTGTTCATTAAATAAAAAACAATATTTAGAGGGAATAAATTTATAATTTTATTGAATACATTGAAATGCATACATGAGTTTATAATTTTTTGATTGGTTTCCTTTCTTAAATTTTTTATTTTTGTGTTTCGATTTTTTTTATTTATTTGTTTGTTTGTTAAATAATAAATAAGATACAATATACGTAAGATTAAATTTAATAGCAGCATTTTTGTTTTCATCGTGCACTTGATTTTCTTTTATATATATATTATTATATATGTATATATAAGCAATATAAATAACTATAATATTTGTATATATTATTATTTCCATTTAATGATTAAATCTTATATTTTTACTTCTTTATTTAAGCATTAAATAAATGTTGCAGTGTATGGTGTGGGTGTGTTGTGTAATATTATTGTTGTTATGATGTCTTACTTTTTCTTTAAAGTAAAGAATGATCTACGCTTTGGTTCGTCCTTTTGCGATGTGGCTGGTAAAGTCTGGGATCTACTTTCTGCAACAGCTGCCGAGTCGCATTGGGCCTTAAGGGCCGCGACCCATTGCGACATTTCATTGTCATCATGGGCTTGCAATAAGAATTCGCCACCATTTGAAAGTCTACAATGAAATAGTTAAAAAAAATCTTTAATTTGATTCATGAAATGACAAAAGGAGATGCTCTATGTAACATACTTTATTCTTAAAACATGCTTCTTCTTAGTGTAATCGCTGGCAACTTCAACTGAAGCCTTTTGTAAGTCATACACTGGTTCTCCGCGGAAAGTCAATTCAGGATTACTCTTATAACCCTTTTGTTCTTTGAAGAATGATAAATGTCCACTTCGGGCAACTGTATACACCTATTAGAAATCAAAAAGAATTAAATATTTTATAAAAACAAGTTTATAATTGTGTTACATACCTTATCCCATGATCTGTTAGATGCCTTCTTTGTTGTGGACTCCCATTCATGTTTTCTCGTCAAATAGCCTTCATGAGCTTCGCCTCCACTAGCACCAGCACGTTCTATTAAAATATTTAAAAGATTAATAACATATTTTACGAAACTTCTGTATGTATAATTGCAGACGTACATAGTTAATGTACGAACAATGAAAATATTAAATTTATATATAAAATTGTATCGCAATCCTAACTAATTTTATTGTAATGATTTAAATTTTTAATGCTGATTAATTTTTTGAGTACATAATATAAACCCGTTTTGTTTTTGTTAACATTAAATTTATTTAACCTTCATTAATAAATTTTTCATGTTTTTCTTTATATTCGAAAACTTATTACAATTTATAGCAACGGGGTATTGGTCCGATTTTTAAAACGTATTTAAAAATTGGAAATTTTAAAGCAAAGGAATAACTGCATTAAAGTCATTCTGGGATTTTCCTAAATGTGCTCAAACCATTTGCATATATTTAACACATTCTCATACTGCCAACTATAGTTGACAATAAGGGGGTAGTTTACAAAGTATGTATATAGAATAAAATCTGTTAAAAAATATGGTTACCAAAACTTAACATCATGAAAATTTAGACAATAATATAATATATATACTTATACATATATAAAATATACTTTTTTACTGTTTTATTTAATACCTGTCTGTGTTTCTGCGGTACGTTCGACTTCAGCTGCGATATCGACGACAGCTTTTCCGCGAAGCATTAAAGATATTGTTTATACGTTTTTAAATTATAACAAATATTTGTTTGTATGTAAAAGATATTTCACAAATAGAAAAAAAACAAAACAAAAAAATTTAACATTCAAAAATAAAAATATTAAAAATTACTATTGATACTAATAGTGATATCCCAATAGTTACCAAATACTATCTTTAATAGAGTTATAATTCAAACTATAAACCAAAGAAAAAAAGGAATGTATGAAGAAGCACAAATCTTACTTAAGCTTAAAAAGCCTCAATACAGCAGTGAATATTTAATGCATAGATTTTAAAATAACTAAAGCGACTAACTTGGTTTAACTGAAGAGAGGAAAGGTTTGTTTTTTTTTAAAGAATATTAAGTGCTTAGGTAGTCCCCACTTGATCCAGTGGGCACAAATCAAATGATAAAGAAGTAATAAAAAACACCCAAAATTTGAAGGAAGTAATAACTTAAATTAAAATAATAATTATTAACTTATTTCATAAATTGTTTAACTCACCAGCTGCTTCTTCAGATGCTGCAACATCAACGACGTCGCGTCTTTCGGCTTCACGTTTGGCTTGCTCAGCGGCCTCAGCAGCAGCCTTTGCTTCCATTTCTTCCTTGATGCGTTGTCTTTCCGCTTCTTCCGCTAACTCTTGGCGTCGTTTCATTTCTTTAAGCTCAAACTGGAATAAAATAAGAAGTATGTTAGAGCACCTGCAAATAACACAAAAACAATTATGTTGAACATACTGTTGTTAAACGCTCAAGTGCACTGAAACGCTCTTCTTGGGCGGCGGCAGATTTTTCGAATGCTTCATGTTTCTTAATAAGATTTTCGACTTCATCTATGGTATGACCCAGTTCTGATGACAATAGATAAGGTTCTTGGGCAATCAACCAAGCTTCAGCAACGGCAGCATCTCTAGCAAATTGATACACTTCCAAAACTAAAGAGGAAAAATCAAACGTTTTGTAAATATAATGTAATAGTTTTAGAGATAAGAGAAACTTACTTAATTGCAAATTCTCCCAACGTTCTTCCCATCTTCTTAACAAAGCGTTTCGACTGTTATTCAATTGTAGTAATCTATCCTTAATATCTCCGGAGGCATAATGATTTCGCGTCAGCAATTCCTTGCCCAATGATATACAAGCAGAGAAGTTATCTTCGCGTGTGTCGATTTCAGCTTTCAGGCTTTGGTGGTTGTTCATGAGGAGTTCAACGCCCGACACGTCACGTGGTTTTTCTGATGTGTTCATTTGACGTACAAGATCTTCCATCCAGATCATCAGTATACGTACCATGTTGAAGAATCTGAACAAATCACCGGTATCGGCGAGTTTCTGTTTGCGGGCATCGCACATAGCCTGTAGGTTCGCCCAGGCATGCAGAACTTCCTGTTCGCGATTTGTAATTTCCTTTGCTTTGTCTCCAGCGTAGGAGTCTTGTAATTTCGCGGATTCCTCTTGTATTTGTTGTACTTGGGCGTATAATGTGGTTAAATCTTGCATAAAGTTGTGGTGTTTGCGCTGTAGAGTTGATACTGATCCTGCATCTCTTCCCAGTTCGTCGGATACTCCGTGTTGCTTTTCAATAATGCGACTGAGAACATCTTTGCAATCATGGAAGAATTTGTGCAATTCGCGGGAAGCTGCAAGCATTTGTGTTCGTGTTTCGATTAATTCCAAAAGATCTTGCCAAGATTCGTTCAAATTATCTTTCCATTCTGCAATGGTGGCAGAATCCGAATGACCGGCTTGAATCAGATTATCGGCAATGCTATTGACCTTAGCTACACGTTCGCCACCAACGGCTTCTGTGTCACGAGCAAATTCGCTGAAACGTTCTGAAAGTAATGTCACATGGTCGAAGTCTTGACCCAACTCTTGCGAACCGGCAACGACTTCTCTGTCGGCAATCCATTGTTCTAAATCATCGACTTCGCGACTTAACATGAAAAGTTGCAGGGCTTCATTAAGGCGAGCACGACGTTCACCGGCCAAATCTTTAAGACCAGCATACAATTTGTCCAACTGAGATTGCTTGACAGCTACAGCGTCGCCGCTTGACACATCATCGATGTTGAATTGACGTGCAACTTCACCCAATTGGCGAATAGTGTTAGCATAGTCTTCAATGGACTGCTCAAGGTTTTCGTGTTTCTTCATTAGGTTTTGGGCACTGACTTCGTCCTTGCCGCGATCCTCAACCATCATGTACAGTTCTTGTTCGCTCATCCATGATTCGGCCTCTTGAGCATCAAAGAAGTATTGTTGTACCTTTTCGGACTCCAACAAGTGTTTCTTGCGGTTCTCGACAGCATCTTTAAGTTCTTGCCATTTCTGTGTCAAGTCACTAATAAGGGCCTCGAACTTCTTGGCATCTTCGTGGCCTTCATCGATGAGTTTACGGCCGTTATTACAAATTGCATTAATACGGGGTTCATGGTTATCAATTTCAGTAGCCAAGGATTGATTTTTCTTCTTAAGAACATGTACATTGAATAAGGAGTTGCCATAATCGTTTGAATTGGCAACTGGCAGTTTTTCATTGATCCAGAGCTTTTCATCCTCGACATCGCGACAGAATTGGAATGCTTCCTTCTTCTTTTCCAATTGCTTTTGACGCTCGAGCAAAGGTGCTTTGATTTTCTCGAAACGATCAAGAACGGCAGTCTTCTTAGTGACAATCGGTTCAATCTTTTCTTCAGGAACAGTCTTCTTCAAGTATTCGGTTTGTTTGTCGATTTCCTCTACTTGACGTTCCTTAACAGCCATTTGTGTTTGAATGACTTGTTGTTTTTGCATAAGAATGTTGACTGATGTTAAATCGTTGCCAGTATCCGCACTAACAATTTGTTTCTCCAAATCTGTGATGTATGAGTCGATATCATCACAAGTTTGTTGGACAAGAACTTCGCGATTGGCGTCGAACAACATGGCACCCTTTTCTTTAGTGTGAGTTTCCAAGTCTTCGAATTGTTTGCCAAGCTCCTTTAATTTAGGTTCAATTACGTCCTTGAATTCGGGTTTTTCTTTCGACAATTCTTCGGCGGCCTTTTGAGCTTCAAACAAACGTTCTTTGTTTGCTCCAATTTCGGCCTCGAATGCCTGGTGTCTAGTCCATTTAGAATGAATGGTCTTAGCACTTCTGTAGGTTTCATCTTGTGATGTGACGTATTTCTCTTGAACCCATTCAGATAATTCATCCAAATCTTGAAGGAACTCGTGCAACTTGACTTGATTCTTTAATTTTTCGTGCTGCTCAAGGGCTCTTCTGCGGTTGTCATCACGACGACTGGCAATATTTTCGGCACGTTTACCGATCTTTTCAGAGTCGAAGTGTTCCTTCTCTACTAAAGTATCAGCTACTTGTAATAAACTGTTAATCTTATCGTCATTAGCTTCCATAGTTGTAAGGAAAGCTTCATGGCGTTTGAGTTGGTTTTCAGCTTGTTCCAAATTAACTGGGGTATCGTCTTTGCTAAGGAAATGCTCTTGTTGACTGAGAAGCACTTCGGTTTGACGTGCGTCACGGTTAAATAGCTGCTGGTCGAGACTTTGAGACAATAATACTTGACGATTCTCCCACATTTGGTGCAACTCCTCCCAGCCGTCTTTAAGAGCATTCAAACGCTCGCGCAAGAACATATATTGAGGATCATCGGAAGTGTTAGATTCTGAAGTCAAACGTTCTCCATATTCCATCATGTTCTTATAATCTTCAGTGTAATTGTCAATTTCTTCACGGATCGATTGATGTTGATTGAGTAGCTGTTCAGCTTCGGGCAACGATGTTGGAGTATCTTCCGAGGCAACATCAGTCTGGGTTTTTGTGAGCCAAGTTTGGAAGTGATCCAAGTCACGCAAGAATCTATGCAAATCTCCAGCTTCTTCCAATTTAGAATCACGTTCCTTAAGCATTTGTGTCAACTGTTCCCAGATGAGTTCGATTTGGGCAATGCGGTCACGAATGATTTGCGCTTCTTCGGGATGTTCAGATTCAATACTGTCAGCTTCCTTTCCTAAGCTTGAAAGTTTAGCTTGGATTGCAGCTAAATCACGTTCCATGCCGCTTAAACGTCTCTGCAATGTCATGACACCAGTCAGATCCATTTCCAAACTGTCAGTTTCAGTAAGAATACGTTTTTTGTCCTCAATCCATGAAATGGTTTCGCGGCATTCAATATAGAATGTTTGAACACCATGAGCAGATTTAAGTTCATCCATCTTAGATTCGGCCTTTTCGCGGAGTGCAGACCATTCTTCGTTGAGATGATTTTGACGCTCGAGGATTTCATCAGAGTTGGGATGCTCAACGTGCAATAGCTGTCTTGCTAGTTGGTTTACAACTGCAACGCGGGAGGCATTGGCGTTCATTTCCTTATCGAAGCCTTCGAAACGATGTTTCATGATTTCAACATCCTCGATGTCTTTACCAGGTGTCATCGTGTCAAGCATCTTAGTCTTCTCCTTGATCCATTGTTCGACACCATCGGCTTCAGACATAAGTTTGTATAAACTGAGAGCGTCCAACAAGCGCTGTTTGCGCAATTTAGCCAACTCATTAAGTTCCTTGTAACGAGTATCAATAGCCTCTAAACGTTTATCGACGTTAGCCTTTTCGGTATCGTTCAATTTCAAAGTTTCAGCCTGTTTGTGCAAAGCATCAATAACTTCGGCGTAATTCTTGAGTTCATCAGCAACATCTTTGTGTTTCTTAAGAAGAGATTGAACATTGGCTTCGTCACGTCCAACATCTTCGCTAGATACAATACGCAATGTATCTAACATCCAATTATCAACGTCATCAGCATCAGCAAATAATTGGAAGTATTCCACAGCATTTTCAAGGCGTTGACGTCTATACTTGGTCAAATCTAGAAGATGGTCCCACTTAGAAAGAATTTCTTTAAGGCGATCCTTGATTCTATCAGCCCCAAAGTGACCTTCAGTGATGAGTTCAGCACCAACTTTAGCCACATTTTGCAATTGGGGATCGTGAGAAGTGATTTCGGACTCGAGAGCCTTATGTTTGCTTAGCAACAAGTTGACTGTAGTTAGATCGTGACCAATATCATCTGTGGACACAATCTGTTCTTTTTCCTTGATCCAGTTCTCTTCGTCAGCAGTATCCCAGTAGAATTGCCACAATTTACGGCTTTCCTCTAAACGACTGCGACGCTCAACTGCCAAACGTACTAACTCAGCATAGGCATCTTCCAATTGTTGTACACGACTTACAATAATCTCTGGATCGCATGGTTTGTACGATTCTGGATCGTCGCTAAGGAATTTCTGTGAATTTTGTACTACTACTTTAACACGTTCACCCAAAATGTTTATGTCAGCTTCTACCAAAGAATGCTTCTGCAACAAGTCTTCGACACCCATCAAATGCTTGCCGTAGTCATCAGTCAACAACAACTGTTTGATTTCCTCCATATTATCTAGTATGTATAACATCTCTTGGAAGTTCTGTTGCAATTGAAGAGAGATCTCTAAGCGCATACGACGAGCACGCAGCAACTCCAGTAAATAGTTCCACAAACGCATAACATTTTCCTTGCGGAGCAAAATACGTTTGACATCGTGATAACGTTCCGACTCGAGTTCGTCACACACTGCCACTACAGCTTGTACACGTTCTTCATAAGCAAAAATATCAGTTTCGATAGCTTCGTGTTTCTTAGCAGCAGCTTCGACTGCAGCCAAATCAAAACCGAAATTGTCTTGACTCACAAGACGTTGATTTTCAGAAAGCCAAGTTTCACGCATAGAAGCCTTGCGATCAAAACGAGCTGCCAACTGTTCAAGTTTTTCTTGACGAATTAATTCTTCACGCAATGCTAATTCACGTTCATGTTCAGCTTTTTCAAGACGCTCCCAAGCCTTGTTAATATCGGAAATCATTTTTCCCTCCTTAGGAGTGTAAGGCTTTTGGTTATTCGCTCTCATCTTTGATTGCAGAGTGAACAGTAAAACTTCCAAGTTTCCTTTCTCAACAAACTTTGGTGGTTTCTCAATGGTACGGTAGTTAGAGAATTGCGCCAACTGACCTTGAACTCCCACTAAAGAGTTCTCAAAAACTCGCTCACCCAAAGCTTGAATTGTTGTTTCTATCCATTTCAATAAATCGCTTGTGAAGTGTTCATAGTCATGAATCATTTTATCGTTTTCCATGGCAATACCCACAACCTTGCCAATACGTTTACCCTGCACTGTCTCCTGCTTAAGTTTACTAAAGTAGTGATAGTAAGTTACTACATAAGTAATGATGGATTTTTCATCGGGATGCTCTACAAATACATCTTCAGCATCCAATAGTTTGGCCAAACCGAGTTTATCTTCGGCCACGTCAAAGGCATTGTTCAAATTGTGCATGGGATTTGCCTTTGACAATTTTTCGAATTGCACTAAATCGGGTCGATGTTTGTGTATAATAGCATTAAATGCCAGACCATCACGCCACGAAGTGGTAAAGTTTCGAACATTGACATTATGATAGCCAGCTGTTTTCATTTGACACCAAAGCAATAAAGCATCCTTGGCCGACTTGGTTTCCTTATTATCTACCTCCTCAATAGTAATATCTTGAATCTAAATGAAAAATGTTATGGAGAATTAAGGGAGAAGTTTAGTTTTGTTGAAATTTTATAAAAGCAACAACAAGTGAAAAATGAATAGACACGTTTTAGACAATACTTACTTGGAACCGCAAAATAATTGTCCAAATCAAACCCAAATTTAACGATGCATTACCATCGACAATATCATGTGAGCCAATATTTTCCAAATGTACTCTCTGTTCGCGTAGAAACTGTAGAGCTTTATCGACATTCTCCAAGCAATGGATTCTCATTTTGCCCTTTGTGGGTTTTGGAAGTCTTTCACCAGACAATACTTCCAGCAATTTTATTAAATGCTTGCCATCACGCATATCAACATACAGATCAGCTATTCTGCAATTGACGCGACACAAATGCGAATTTACCCATTTTGTAAATGTTTTCTTTTGCACACTTTCACGTTCTTCTGCTAGTGCCTTAATACGAGAACGTTCGAAGAGACGTGAACTCGAATTTCCTCCATCATATTCATACTCATCGATGTATTCGTTGCCTGGACCCTGACTAGGGTCCCATCGAACAATTGAAATGTCCGTCGTCATCGCTTTCGATAATTAATTTCTAAAATAAAATAAAAAAATACATATTTTTTATTAAATTTTCAAAATACAAATAGTTGTACTATCTTTAAAAATCACTGTTATGTTTGCCTTAATTAACTGATAGGTTAACTGTTTAACATTAATCAAAATTAAATAAATAGCAAGTTTTCCCATGAGTCCAATATGTAATCAATTTTAGACTAACCTACATACACTTTGAGTGCTAACAGGGTTCACGTCATTCTATACAATCATAAATAAAATTTTGGAAGCAAAATGTATAAAATGTTGACGTAATTGTTTTTTACTGTATTAACTAGCGTTGAAAAGTAACATGTAAAATGTGTTAATTAATAAAGAACAATAAAAAATATTTTAAATAATAAACTCAAACCTAATTGCATAATTGAGCAAAAAATTTATACAAAAGGAGAAAATAGTGGGAAAGCATAGATATAGAAAGTGAAAAAGAGATATTCTTGTAATGATGTAAATCAAACAAAACGATGACATAGACCATACTGGAGACAATTTACGTTCATATTAAAGAATGTGAGAAACGAATATTGACCCCAACTAACTGGACACAACTGTGTATAAACTACTGTGTGTATATCGTTATAACTGACATAATTAAATTAGTTTTGCGAAACAAATGAAGTAATTTTTCCTGAAAACTATAATTAAATAACAAAATATTTAACTGAGATTAAGTTGACACAAAAGAATTTAATTATAATTTAATTAATATTATATTAATTATTATAACGAATATAAGCATTAAATTGAAAAAGTTTTTATTATTTTATTTCGATTTTATTTGATATTTTATTAAATTCACCAGAGAATGTACTTCACACAAAATTAAAGAAAAATAATATAGATTTTCATTTATTTAGATATTTCTGAAATACAATCGAATAAATGTAAAATATAATAATGTTCAATACATTTTTGCTGTTTGTTTAAATAAATATAAACAGTATTTTTTGTTATCTTATAAAAATTTGTCAGAATTTAAAATTATCACTAAGGCAGTTAAGACCAATAGATAAAATATAGCGATTAAATAAATAAAAATGTTACAGGTATTTATTAGGTGATGGTGGTAATGGAAACTAAATTAAAAATATTTTTGTTAAAAATTTCGTTTATTGCGAATAACAGTAGGGCGAATGCAAAAACAAATAAATTTTTATTTTGCAGTACTAGTGCAACTAGTTCTCATTGCATTCCCCATTTTAGGACCAAATTAATTATTCATTTTTTTAGTTTAAGTTTAAATAAACAATTGAAGTATAATAAATATAATACCACAACTTCCATCGGAAGTTTCATTTGTTCTGATTATATCATTTTCAAAAACTCTCGACAATTTTATGAATTAGTAATTTCAATTGTACAAAAAAATTAAAAATCCAACAGACCAGCAATGCTCTACGCTTAAACAACTTTTTAGTATGTATTCAATTAATTAATATTTTCAGATATTATTATATTTTCTATATGATCATCTCACAAACTTACAAACATATATACGAGTATATATGATGACATAATTTAAAAAGAGTTTAAACTATTTTTTTTTTTGGTCAATTGATGTATATTATTTAGTTCACGTATAAAAACAAACATGCAAGTAAATTGATGATATCATATGCAATATCCAAAATATAATGTCTAGAAAGTTGTATTTTTATTAACTTTTTAAGAAAAAAGAAACAGTTTTTTTATTCTCTATCATTTAAGAAAAAGTTTTTTTAAAACAGTAAAGAAATATCTATCTAAACTCCTTTGGACAATTTTCGCTAGGGCTAATAGGTGAAAAGTTACACTCATTTGAAAAAAACCCTGTAAGACGAAATTGTCCAACTTTGACCCCCTCTAACCCCGGGCAGGTCTTCACAGTTAGAGCTGAAAATTTGCATCGGAGACCTACTATCCAATAGTACTAACAAATTTAATCCAAATCGAAAGACATCGATTTTAAAAGTTGGGTCATTTGACACGAAATTGTCCATATGTACAATCACTTTAATTTTAATGAATAGTACGTTACCTTCTCAATAATACAACTTTCAATATACAAAGTAAGAATTGGACAGCAATTTTTAAATCGTCTAAATAGTTTTCGGTACTTTTTACAAATTGTATTTGAATTGATTGAATTATCAATCATAACAAATTTGTTTACTTCCATCATATCAATTCATATTTTATATACATTCACTAAATCATAAGAAATTTACGAATATTAAAGGGTTCTTTATTAAGAACTAGACATTTTGTTTTTCGCCATTTCATGTATAGGAATGAAATTGTTTTCGCAATTCTTTTACAATTTTAAACCTTGCCATTTAATCATGAAAAGATTCAACCTTCCAGAACCCTTGGAACAATGTTAGAAGAGACAACAACAACGGATATGAGAGATTTTTGGTGTTCCTGAACTATATACATTTATAGTGGCACAAATTTATCGGCCTCTCAATCAAAATGGAATTTTAAAACCCTCGTAAAAAGGAATTTTAAAACCCTCGTAAAAAAGACTTAGATATTCAAAGATATATGATTTTGAATATAGGCAGTCCTCCAAAAATAAATTTTAAATAGCAAATAATAGATTTTATGATTAATTAGACATCAATTTATTTTTGACAATGATGATCTATAAAAAATACTAGTTGCAATTTGTCATTTCTCTATGTAAATTTGCACTTGTATTTAGAAATACCTATCTTATTTTTATAAAAATGAATCAATCAATATATGTATATAAAACATTCTTTTTACTTACATACATACATACACAACACATTTATGTATTTATGTCGTATAAAGATTCTATATAAATTATATGAAATGAATCTGTCAGTATGTATGACATTTGACTTTGCCCCACACTATACAAAACAAACATACATACAACATGTAGATCAAATTGTCAAGCAAAAACATACATAAGTATGTGGATATACATACATATGTATACTTATTATACATGGATTTATTGTACATAATAATTTTGATGTACTACTTATTATCAGTAACTATAACTATGTAAGTTTGTATGTATAAATGTTTAGATGAATGTTTATGCATGTCAATTCAATTTAAAATAAAAAAAAAATATGTACTTATGCACATACATATAACTAAATAAATATGTATTTTATATACATATATACAAACACTTTAGAAATCATTGTGAAAATTCAATCCGACTGGGTGGAGAGGGTAAAAAAAATGAGCTCATTCATACTCTATAACAGGCAGTACAACTTTACGTTTGTGGTTGTTGTTTATAGGTTAAAGTGGTTGTAGAAGTATTGGTGTATTACTAAAGTAGAAACGAATCAAATTAAAAGAGAAACATACAAAAATACGAAAGAGTATGAGAAAACAAAATTAAGAAAAAATATTTAAAAAAAGTTTTAGCTCTTATCTATTACGTAATACATTCTCGTGTATTTCCTTCATTCAAAACACAGCTTAAAAATATACGACATAATATACTAACATCTGAATATTATTATTATTATTTTGTATTCTTATTGTAATTTTGTTGTCTGTCTGCCAAGTCTGTCGGTGTTGACTCAATTTTTGAGAAATTCTTTTAAATGTATCAAAACATTGAAACAAAATTATTGCGTGTATAAATACAGAGAATAAAAACAGAGAAAACACACAAAAAAAAAACACAAGTGAAATATAAAATGAAAACAAAATTACGTATTCCTGTCACCGCCTATTTTTAGAGACGAAACAATTTTTTTAAGAATTATATTAAGTGCAAAAGAATGTTGAAATATTATTTCTAACAATTTATCTTTTGCAATATTTTCATAATAAACATCTTTTTTTCATTTATATTATAGGTATGAACTTGTTTAGATATGTCTTATTATTTTAAAGGTGAAAGTGAAAAACTGTTTAGGTATTAAAATTATATTTTTGACCCCTATATTATTAATATCTAACGATATCTGAAAGCTTGAACGATGAGCATACATTGTCGTGAGAACAAAAAATGCACAATTTGCAAAATGTTTTTAGGTCATAGAGAAAGTTAAAGAATAAAATTCTCAATGCAATATATTTAATAATAATATCAATGCAAATAATACTTCAATACTACAATATCATACAAACTTTACGATCAATTATACCCACAGATTGAAATAATTAGACTAAGTTTATAGAAATTGTCATAAAACGAGGAAGTTTATAACTTTTCTGAATTCTTTAGAATAATTTGCAGCATTTAAATAATGAAGTTCCAAAAAGATTTAGTAACCGTTTCAATAAATGTGAATGATTGTTTTTACAGAAACAGGACCCTAAATTCGTTGGAAACTATCAAACACTTTTTAATATTCTTAAAAGTTGATCTAAATTCTGTTTATATTCATTCAACTTTAAAGAGCATACAAATATCTCAACTACTAAAGCTTTTTTTTAAAAAAATTACAAAAAATAATTACACAAATCCTTAAAAAGCTGATGTTTGAAATGAAATTTTGTTGGTGTTCTATATTGCATGCGGATAAATATTTTTAAATATTTACTCGAAGTATACGCACGCAATATAGAAATACCTAGTTTATTTTTTAACCACAGCTGTACGTTAATATTTTTGCTATCATAGGTTTGGGGTAGGTAATGTACAATATACATAATTAAATCAATATTTCCTTGAAAAGTTGAGAATAACATATATTAAATTATAACTGGATAAGAAAATATTTTTTAAGTTAAATCTCACTTACTATATAAAAATGTACATGTTTTTTTTAGTAAAAACCGTAACACTATTTTAAATTTTAAACAATAATTTATTTATGGAATTTGTGTAAAAGTCACGTTTATTTGAAATATACCTATTTAGTAGAAAAGAAAGAAAATAGTTTATGATATTTAGGATAATATTTTTTAGTTAGAGTGTGAAAACACTTTAAAATAAATTAACTTTTAATTTTAATCAGTATTTGTTTATTGATTTCCAATTGTGGTTAAATTGCGTTTTTTACGACTTTATTCTAAATATTTTTTATAAAATCTAAATAGACTGAAATTTGTAATGTGTATATTGATTGGACAACAATAGAGAAGACCCTCATGGTTTAGATTAATGCGATACTCCGATAATATAAATATCTTAACAAAAGCTTATTACTATTAATACCAATAAATAATAAATGAATTACATCATTCATATTTACAAAAATATACAAACTATAAGACTGCCTTGACAACTCTGCCTGTCTGTGCATTTTCGATTTTACTTAGAATTTGTCACAAATTGTTTGAGATTTTACTTCCACAGCACTGATACATTTGATCGCCTATTTGAACTGATCATTTTAAGCAGAATTTTCTCTTTAAATAACACAGATAGCCATTTGTGCAAGTTTGAACATGTTTTTCATGAATCCCCTTTATATTGATGCCAGAATTGCAAACATCTTTAACTAACTTTGGAAAACATGATATTAACGAAAGACACATATTTTGTTACCACTTAGTTAAAAAACTGAATTTCTATTTATTTCAGTCTTTAGTAAATGAGCGATATACACAAAATTTTTAAAAAATGACATTATATTGACAAGTCAAGCATCCATATGTCAAAAATATTATCTTATAATGATTGATAACGTAATTTCATACATCATGTTATGCTAATTGAAATTAATTAAATTAACAAATAGTTTTTATTCAGATAAATCGCTGCATTTTTAAATTTATAGTTATTATTTTTTATAAAATTCCTTCAAAAAACTTTATCAATAATCAATAATTTATGAATGATGGAGTCTTTTATATACAAAATTGTTAAAATTTTAAAAGGATTTTGGTCAACAAATTTATGCAAATTTTTTGTTAATAACAAAATACTTTTACAAATCATTATAGGTATATTTTAAGTGAAAATTTGTTATAATTAGTAACAACTTTCTGTTATTGATCAGACCTAATGTTACTTTAACAATATGGAATATCATGACAAAAAATGCCAAATTGATGACATTTACATACATATGTATGTAATAAGGATTTTTTCCTTTGCATATCACACACCCAGTAGAATAGTGACACAACTCCAACATTTTTTTAGAAAGGAACAATTTTTTTTTTTTTTAAATTCTGAATAATTCTGAAACAAGAATCTGTTGTTACACTAATATTTTTTAGAGATAAACAAGCATCTTGTGCATAGTTTAAGGCTTAAACTTAAAGCTTAAAGAATATAAAAACGCAAAAATAAAATTTTGAGTTGAGTCACTTTAGTACTGGGTGTGCGATATATTTTATGTTACCCCATGTCTAGATTTGATTTATTTTTATTGTGCTAAACTTTAATAAATCAAATAGTTGTCATGACAAAAATGGCCATTCATTTGCCTTCATTAATAGCATCGTTATGACTAAACAATTGTTTAGACAACTTTGTCTTGATAACAGATATCATTGCATTGTATAATTTATACTTATAGAATTTTGTTTTTGTGCAATTGAGATTGGTTGTTAACATAAGTTTTAGCGAAATAGTATTTATTTACAAAATTTGCATTTATTTTAATTGTTATGATATTATTTCAGTAAAATAAACTGTGCTTTGTGGTGATAAAAGCATTTTCATTACCCAATGCATTGATATAAAAAAATAAATTTTGTCATATCAATATTTCCAAACTATAGGCACAATTCTGAAAGTTGTGATACACTGTTGTCAGATCTTACAACGTCAGAAAAATGTTCAGAAAATGTACAATTTTAGTTTAAAAAAAAAAGCATTTCTGACAATGCAGCAAGACAAACATTGTAAGTTTACACGGTTGTTAGACATTTTCGGAACATTTTTCTGACAATATTAAAAACAAAATTTGTTAAGCTATTTATACACGGTTGCAGGATCTTACAACGTTGGCAGTAAAATATGCAGAAAATGTCTAACAACGGTGTAAATTTACAAATTTTATCTTGCAATATTGTCAGTAATGCTTTTTTGACAACGTTGCAAAAGAAAAATTGTAAGTTCACACGATTGTTGTACATTTTCTGCACATTTTACTGGAGCTTATCAGAGTTTTTAGTTTAAATTTAAATCAAATTTAGGCGCATTTTAACCGGTGATTCGATTTTCAGTAATGAATTAAAGAGCAGCTATACATAGTTCTAACTTAGAACAAAAATAGTACTCTTTAATAATATAAGTAGGTACTAAACTAATTTTCCACTAGATTAGACTATAGACTAATTTATCTACTAGACTACAGAACAGATTATGGTCTAGACTATAAACTAAGTTATATACTGCTTGTCAAAAAGCTCATAATTGTTTTTCATTAATAGGTTACAACTTTTAATTGTTTGACCCCAGATCACCAAATATTGACCCCAGGACGGTAATCTAGAATGAATTATAATTTAATTTTCAATGGGAATTCAATGGGAATTCAATGAATCTATATTCTAGTCCTTCTATATACACATACATACGTACATACGAACATAGTGTTATTTTTAACTAAAACTTCTCGCCCAGTTAAAAGTGGGCATGTCGGAAAATGCATTTGTTTAATCACAGTTAAATATTTTATTAATTACTGAATTAAAATCCTATTCGGGTATAATTCTTTTTATTTAAAAATCACTATATACAGAATTAACTTATTTCCTAATCGTAATTAACGATTTTATTATTGAAAAAGAGAAATGCATACAATGTATATACGCACATTTAAACACGCATACCAGACACAAGTGATGTAAATTAATTAGAATAATACCTACTACGCCCTATGAGCCAATCGTTTTCATTTTTCTTTTTTTATTAATTGCTTAGTCATAATATACTAAATTTGCACTTATTATATCAAATAATATAATTTTGATTTTAGATCTCATGAAAATATCCTTAAACTTGTTTTTCACAGGTTTTTATTATTAATGACTTTTATTTTTACTCTCTTCATTATCCCTCTTTTAGATTTTATAATTGTTCTCTATATCATTAAATTTGTTTTATTTCTTGGAATGTTTATTTTTAAGTTTGTACGTATGTTCCATATTTTAGAGGTAATTTTTTATATATTTTATTTTATAATTTATCTATCAAAAATAAGGTGAAATTTATAAAATATACATTTTACTTGGAATACTTTGATTATATTGTTGTTTTTGTTGTTTACTGATGATGAAGAACACTAAATACACACTCAAACTCACTCACAAAAACAAAATGAACGTACGTAAGATACGACGTTGGGTATATTATTCTCTTTCTCTAGGTTAGTGCGGCAGTGTTGTTGTAAAACGAACAGTGCAAAAGAAAATAATAATAACAAAAGCAATCAAACAAGCTTTTGAGCGAATGTGTTGTACGAGCGAACAAGCGACCGAATCGACCGATTAAAATGATGTCATCAACACAGTAACGAAACACTGTGAAGAGAGTATGTAGTAAAAAAGAATAAATGTGAAAAAAGGCTAAAACTCATGAATTCATTTTTTTCATAGATAAATCAATCGATTGATAATGTATGATGTATGTTCGTATGGTTTAGTTGAAGTACATATATATATTTTAAGATCAATTTTATAGATTTTAAGATATTTTCTTTTTTATATTCATTAGTCTTGTTAAAAGTTTGACTTATTTTCATTATTGTATCACTTTTGAATAATTATTCCAGTTTTTATTTATACTTGTTTATTTTCATTTATAGCCGCTTCAATTTAGCCCTGTATTGGGCGTTGTCTGTCTTGCCTAATAGTTTAGTTAATTTTTTTATTATTATTTTCACTTCCTATTTTCACGCAAAAAAGGAAAATATGAAACATTTTCCTCTTAACTTACCGCCGTTTCGTAATTATTTGTCAGTAAAATAAAATTATTCACAGTTCGTTTTATCCCCAAATATTGAATTTATTATAATGTTCTATAAAATTTTCTCATTTAATACACAAATTTATAAAATAAATTATTTTTTCTTTTTCATTCAACGAACAACTTTGAGAAACGACAATAATTGAACTACTTGAAAAAGTGAAAAATTATGTATGTATACCAAAGACCTGCGCCGAAAAACATTAACGGCGGCGGCTGACACTTAAAATATCGGCGGCGGCTTAAAATCGACTCTAAGCCGGCTAAGTTCTAAAATACGCTTAATTTTAAAATTTTCAAAGATTTTAAATAAAAACGGAATCCGAGAGACCTTTTAAGTGGGATTTTGTATATAATTTATAACAATACAATAGAGCAAGCACAAAAGTTGTGTGAGAAATTATACAGGGATGAAAAAAAATTTTAAAAATTAAAAAAAAAAATTATTTGATTAATTTTTAAAAAGGCTTAAGTAGGTTTTAGTGACATTTTTCAAATCACGTCGAAAATTTCACCACTCATAGAGAGTTCGATTGTTCAAAATATAGTTATATTATTATAAAATAAAAGGTATTTCAAAGACCTTTCCAATGATATGTAACATGATATACAAAAAAGCACCCATTATAGGTAAATTTTGGGAAACATAATTTTTGAGGTTTATCTAAAAAATCGGGAAAAAAATCGCTTATAAGTATGTATATAAATTAGATTGTTTAAAGGCTAAGATATTGAGCTTTTTATTAAGGTATAATATGTTTTTGTAAGTATTATACTTCCTGAGATATTAATAATTAAATTATGATTATTTAGGAAATCTTTATTAAGCGAAGCCGGTGTTGGACATACCATAGAGGAGAAAATCCTTCCGCCCGGCCATAGGCCGTCTATTTAGGAAATCTTTATTAAGCGAAGCCGGTGTTGGATATACCATAGAGGAGAAAATCCTTGCGCCTATTCAGCAAATCTTTATTAAGCGAAGCCGGGGATAAAATAAATGGTTTTTGAAATCAAATATCTCTTTCATTTGACTGGATACTGAAATGGTTAATACCTTAAATAAAAGCTTAATTCATTGGCTATTAACATAGACATTTTAAATAGAATTAGACATTTTACCCGATTTCTTTTATATGAAAATAAAGTCGCAGATATAATTTTTATTTCCTGTATATGCATTGAAATATAAACCTATAATACTCTGCCTTACAATTAAATAAGGGATACTGATTTCACTGGCAGGCCACATTTCCATTTCAGAAAATCCATAGCGTTACGCGTAAATAGTCAAAACCACTTATACCCCATTTACACATACACGAAATCTAGTAGATTTCCTTTAAAATCTTTTTCCAAATCTAGTCCGTTTACACTTACTATTATTGACATTTAGGAAGATTTCATTTTTTCTAATATTTCTTGAAAAAGTGTGTGATATGAAAAATAAGAAGGAAAAATGGGATATTTATCAAAATTCCATTTAAAATAAAAAAATAGATATTTAAATATAACATTACCTTTTATTTTAGATTAACTTTTCATTCATGTTTTTCAATTTATAAAAATTTTGTCGACATTTTAATTTTTTTTGTTTGTTTTGTTTTCCTCTTTTTTCTTGTGTAGTGTCATATTTTTTAGTATTATTTAGGAAAAAACAGAGTTGCATCACTAAAAACTATTAGATTTTGAGTAGATTTTAACGAAATCTAGTTACGAAGTAGATTTTGTTTTGTATGGGAAATCTAGTTAAAATCAAGTAGATTTGGCTCGAAGTCTCATAAGTACTAGATTTCGTGTATGTGTAAATGGGGTATTAGGGCCAATTTTGAAAGTAGGGTTTCGTTCCCGGAAAGCGCCGGGAATAAATTCCCGGGAAATGTAGTGATTTTTATCTTCCCGATTCCCGGGAATTTTAGTCGGGAATCCCGGGAATTAAAAACTAGTAAAAATGCAATCATGTTTATTGTAACACATTTTATACAACAAAAATGGACAGGTATTCCTCCAAAAAGTTGCCCGAGGGACACTTCAATGCAGACATACGCATATGTATGTATTTAAAAAGAAAATAATAAAGTATTTTATTTACTTTATTTAAATAAAGCTTGGCTACATTTCCTCAGCTCTACTACCGTTATCTCTAAAATATCGCTACCGAATTACCGTTATTTTATATTATTTTTAAACAATTTTCCTATATTTAAAATACCCTTTTATCTCACTACCATTACCGCTAAAATAACGTTACAGAAATAATCCAAATACCGTTACCCTTATCTTTTCACAGCTTCAAAACTATTGTCAACCCTGATTTTATATATACATATTTCTAAGTTACAAAAATTCAATAAAACATCGCGTAAACGCTTTTTTAATTATTATTTTATTTTATCGGGAATTCCCGGGTTCCCGGGAATGTGAATATTTTTTTCGGGAATCTAAAAACGTCGGAAATTTGGAAACCCTAGGTAAAAGATTAGCGATTAAATTAAAATTAATCTTCGAAAGTTCTCATTCTCAATTAGTTAATATTGAAATGTAGCTTGTTTTAAAATTAATGTAGCAATCGTTTCTAAATATGTTTATGTATAAAAATTTTTATGAAAATTTTGTTCATTCCAAATCTAAGACTTGACAAATAAATATCTGAATTTCTTTTATTAAATAATATAAATACTTGAAGTCAATAGTTATGGGCGAAAATAAAGAATTGGCAAACGGTATTCCGCAATTTAACAGTTGTGGGTATGATAATTGGCAATTCAGAGTCAAGATTCATTTGGATTCTTTGAATATATTGGACGTTCTAACCGATGATCCACCCGTAGAAGCTGCTGCAAGGGCAGAATTTTTTAAACGTGATAAGAAGGCCAAAGATCGTTTAGTAAGCTACATTCATGCTGATTGTTTAAGTTATGTTCGGGACAAGGTAACCGCTAAGGAAATGTGGGCAAATTTGGAATCGGTTTTTGCTCAAAAATCTATTATAAACCAATTGCTATTGAGAAGACAATTATCCACACTTCGTATGAAGCCTGGGGATTCCATAAAATTACATTTGGAACAATTTGAACATATAATAAGACAACTTAAGATGGCTGGAGCAAATTTAGAGGATGCTGATTTAATTACACAAATTTTTTTGTCGTTGCCTGAAAAATTCGATCCCTTAGTGACGGCGTTGCAAAACATCGATGACAACAAACTTACATTTGGATTCATAAAAGAAAGATTGATAGCTGAAGAAATTAAACTTAATGATCGTGTTGAAGCTGAAGTTGGAGAAAAGACAGCATTTGCAAGTAAAAAACATTTTAAGAAAAAGTTTAACGGTAAGTGTTACAAATGTAATAAATTCGGTCATCAAGCCAAAGATTGCAAGACTAGGGAAGCTCGTGCTGCCGATAAAAGATTTTGTTTTATGGCTGGTACTAGTGCAAATCGAAATAATGAAGGCTCAAAAGTAAGATTCATATTAGATTTTGGTGCTAGCGATCATCTGGTCAATGAAAGTTGGTATATTTCTGAACTGAAGAAACTGGATGTTCCTATTGAAATCAATATTGCCAAAGACCATCAATCTGTATTAGCTAAAGCAAGTGGCCAAATACATTGTAAAATGGATTCCGAGTATGATATTGAAATAAAGGAGGTTCTATATGCACCAGATCTAAGAGACAATCTTATGTCAGTACGAAAATTAACAAAAGCTGGTGCTCAAGTGAAGTTTGTTGACAATCGCGCATTAATTATGAAAGATAAAGAAGTGATTGGTACTGGCTTCTTAAATGGCAACTTATATGAAATTGAAATCGTAATTGAAAAGCCTGTAGCTAATGTATGCAATAAGGATGATGCAGTTTTATGGCATCGTCGTCTTGGTCATGTAGGTCAACAAGGATTGGATTCCTTAGTTAAAAACAACATGATACCAAATCTGAAAAATAAAGTTGAAAAGATTGGCTTTTGTGATGTTTGCGTTGAAGCAAAACATTCTCGTGATCCTTTCGATGGTACTCGAAATAAAGCAACACGAATATTGGAACGAATTCATACGGATATCTGTGGACCGATAGATCCTGTAGCAGTGGATGGTTCTCGTTACATTGTTTCATTTATTGATGATTTCAGTCATTTTTCTGTCATTTATCTTATAGAAAAGAAATCTCAAGTTTTTAAGTCGTTAAAAGAATATGAAGCCATGGTAACAGCAATGTTTGGATCCAAAATATCAAAAATTACTTCTGATCAGGGCCGTGAATACCTTTCAAAAGAGCAGCAAGATTGGTATAAGGAAAAAGGTATACAAATTGAGACCCCAATATCGTATAGTCCTCAGCAGAATGGTGTCGCTGAGCGATTCAATCGCACGTTAATGGATAAGGTAAGAGCCATGCTTTTTGAATCGAATATACCGAAAAACATGTGGCATGAAGGTGCTCTAAATGCAACATACACGATAAATCGATGCCCAACAAGTTCGCTACAAAACTTTAAAACACCTGCGGAAATATGGTTTGGAAAGAAACCTGATTTGTCAAAATTGCGTATATTTGGGTGTAAGGCGTATGCGTGGATCCCAAGTCAATTAAGATGGAAACTCGATCCTAAAAGTCGTAAAACGGTGATGATTGGTTACACTAATAATGGATACCGACTTTGGGATATGGAAAAAACAAAAGTTATAACCTCACGCGATATTAAATTTGATGAATCGTGTTTTCCTTTTAAAGATAATATCAAGCAACGGGAAAATAGTGTGATAGTAAGCCACCAGCAAGAGGGGAGTAGTGATGATGAAAACGGTGCCGTGGCTCAGTCGCTTATAGAAAATAATCTTGATGAAAATGATATTGCGGCTGAAGTAATTGCTGAAGGCGAATGTAATGGTGTAAATTGTGATTTGGCAGAACCAAATAGTGAGGAAAACTGTCACGAAGTTGAATCCAGTATTTTAACAGACGATGATGATGATGTGGTGGAAATTCAAGATTCAGTTTCTAATGAAGTATCCACTGCGCTCCAATCGCAAGAAGAAAACAGTGTTGAATTTGTTAGGCGGAGCGGTCGGGAGCGCAAATTTCCAAGTAAGTTATTTGATTATATAACTGGTTTACAAGCAGATTCTGCTGTTAATGTTTTTAAGGCTGTTCCTGAAAAATATGCCGA